ACACACACACACACACACACACACACACACACACACACACACACACACATGCGTCAGAATCGACTCAACGGCAGTGGGTTTGGTTTTTTTGGTTTTATGTATGTATGTGGGGTCCCTAGGTGGCACAGTTAAGCACTCAACTACTAGCTGAAAGGTTGGCAGTTCAAACCCACCCAGAGGCACTTCGGAAGACAGGCCTGGCTATCTTCTTCCAAAAGGCCACAGCTTGGAAAGCCCTATGGTGCAGTTCTGCTCTGCACACGTGTGGTCGCTATGAGTTAGAATCGACTTGGTGACGACCAGCAACAGCATATATACAGTAGAGCAGGGATTTGAACCCAGGTTCCAGATCTGGTTATAATCGTAATAAGGTGGTGAGTGCCTGGTGACTAACCCAGGGGATGAGCCATTGGGCCTGTTGAGAAATTGGTAGATTCCTTTGTGTTGCTATGAGAAAGGGATAGTTATCTTTAAAATTTCTGCCCTGGGGCTGTCCTCAGGAAGTGCCCTCTATGGCAAAGGGGGGGTCCAGTTCAAGTCTTGATGACTCTGCCTTCCCCGTGGCCCATCAGGCAAACAACCAGCTGTTGGCAATGATCAGTTGCTGCTGGAGTCTGGACATGTCTTCTTTCAGCTTCTCAGCAGTCCTGACCCTTTGGAAAACAGTGCCTCATTGTCCTTGGGGGTAGTGTTGCGGGGGGTGGGCAAGGGACTCGCCTGGGGCATTCCAGGCTATGGAGCCTCCCTGTTTCCATGGAAAATCTGGATTTGTGCTTGCCGGACTGTGGTGCCTCTGTGTGTTAGGCCAGGGTCAGGGCACCCAGCTGCTGGGTCTGAGGAAGAGGCAGCGTTCGCCTGTGAGCGATGGTACCCTCCTACTAGCTCTGTGACGGCGCCAAGTCTCCTGGGCTGTGAGCTAGTCAGGGCCAGGGCTGGGACTCCAACCCTGGCGTGTTTGCTTCTTCGGCAGGTGCTGTTTCCACTGGGCTGAGCTGTCTGCTGCCTGGGCAGCCACAGCTTGGTGTGGACAAGCTCAGGCCACTGGGGCCATAGCCCCATCGTTCTGAGTTCATCTTAGCATCCTGAGGTACATCTGAGG